AACACCTTATATATATATATATATCCCAAGAAGACCCAATTCATAAAGAGTATTGTCTAACCTTTTCCATATTCAAATTAAAATACAGCTTTTAAACCCCCTTTTTTTATGTAGTATAAAGTTTAATCGTGACATATAAAAAAAATCTCTTTTCCTTTTTTTTTAATAAATGAAAGTATATCCATTAACTAATTAAAATAGTTTCAAGACATATATGTATTTTTTTCATAACTTCCCAATTCCAGGTGCACTATAAAATGTATTCAAGGGCAAATTCTTAATTCCAAGTGAAGAAAATTAGAAAGTTTGCTCATTTCACCAGGCAAGAAATCATTCGAGAAGAAATTGCCTAAACACTTCTCCTTAGATTATGAACCGTAAATAATAAAGACTAGTCAGAGATCTTGGCATTCGAGTGAGATTTACAATGAGATTCAAATATCAAAGATGTTTCAAATTTTTAATAACCTCAGACATATTTTTTTCTGATATGGGGAGTGTATGAACAACAAACGAATGCTTCAAGATGCCTTTGAAATTTCAGTAAGTATTTCAGCTAAAAGAATTACAAAGTAAGCAATCTTAACAAATGAAAATAATCAATGAATAGCAGACCAATTATGACAAACGATAGAAACAGTGAAGTGGTATGGATAAAAAAAAAATCTGGGTGTTACATATATAAGCAAATAGAATTCATAACCCTCAGCTAAATGATACATAAGCACGAGTTGATTAAAGAGAGTTCACAACTTCCCTTTTTATGATTTGGATATTAAGCATACAAACATTCATGAATGATCAAATATACATATATCTCATACTTTTCATATTCAAATATATCCATATTCTAAATAAAAAAAAAAATGTACATCTCATATTTTAAACTTCAGTTTATACATGTGTCACATCATTTATAATCGGTGCTGCATGAAAAGAGCCAGGATAACAACAAGAAATTTTTCATATGACGAGAAAACCTTGAGTGGCATAAATGTGAAATAGTTTAATATTGGGTTTGTGAATATATAGTCAGTAAGGGGTGTATATGAAAATCTTCCGAAGTACATTTATATTCAAAGCAAAATATGTTCATCTCCCAACAAAAGTTATGTAGCAGAATTATAAAATGATACAAGAAAGCTAGTTTTCCAAATCTGAATCAAACTAATTTATTGTAATCAAAGAAGAACTAGTATGCCCAACACCTAATCCGTTTTTTTTTATTTATCTAACACATGAACTTTTATCTAACACATGAACTTTGCTATTTATCTAACACATGAACTTTGCTCTTTATACTTATATCATCCATATTTTCAAATCATATCAAAAACACAATCGGTTTATCATTTATCAAGTGGAAAAGGGATTTTTATACATGTATGAAGTAACGGGTATATCAAGGTTGAGGTTCACATATTGAATAAATAAATACCGAAACAAATTGTATTGTATATATATGAATCTACTTGATAAAAAGAACAGTGAAGAAGATGAGAGCACTCAAAATCAGCAAACGAATCCAGGTCCAACAAATGGCCAAAAACTGAACCACTAGAAAGACAAAACCAAGCCCTAATCAGTTATTCAAAGCACCAAAATGTCCCAATGCTTATACTCGAATAAAGGGGCAGCAAGAAGAACAAAGCGAGCCCCAATCAGTTATTTAAAGCACCAAAATTTTCCAATGCTTATACTCAAATAAAGGGGCAGCAAGAAGAACAAAACAGAGCCCCAATCAGTTATTAAAAATGTCCTAATGCTTATACTCGAATAAACGGGCAGCTAGAAGAACAAAACCGAGCCCCAATCAGTTATTCAAAGCACCAAAATTTTTCTAATGCTTATACTCGAATAAAGGGGCAGCAAGAAGAACAAAACCGAGCCCCAATCAGTTATTCAAATGCAATTACAGTTCCAATGCTTATACTCAAATAAAGGGGCAGCAAGCAAAACAAAATCGAAACCCAATCAGTCATTCAAATGCAATTACAGTTCCAATATATATATTATTCGAATAGAAGCATCAACGACAGGAGCAAAAACCGAGTCTCAAATAGCTGTTCAAAACTAAACAGTACTTCAACATATATTCGAATAAGGGATAGTAGGAAGCAAAACCTAGTAATCAAATAAACTGCTCAAAGCATGATAATTCCAGCGAGTTCACCCTCACAAATCTCATTTCAAGAAATCTATAAAAATAAACCGATCCTCTCCAATAAGCATCATATATCCATGGGTCTAGCTTTTTTTTAAAATAAAATTGTGCTTAATATTCAAGAATCACTAATAACATAAACCAAAAGAGGAGGTCAAATTCTCAGATAGATGAAAACAGATTTTATAAACTCATTTGATAATGATCTTGAAAATCCTCTAAAAAGGCTGAAGAAGAAGAGAAGAACTTACCTCCGAATGTTTCCAGAAGGTTTAAAAGAACTTAGAGGCAGTAAGCAAAAAAAACAATCTCCGAATCCCAAGAATGAAAGAAGCTAATCCCAAAAGAAATTGCCAGCCAACCAAAATTTTTCCTTAGTATATGAATCAGAAAAATCCAACCCAAAAGCTTTCCTATAACAATTTTCAGAGAACACAAAGCCAATCTCAAGCAAAAATCCTCAAATCGTTTAGATGAAAAAAAAGCTAACTCCTAATCCTTCCCCAGAGGGGTATTTATAGCCAACGAGAGGGCAAGGAGAGGTGCTTGCCGATAAGGCTTACGCATTTGGGCGGGAAAATTTGTTAGAAAAAGAGTTACTGGCAAGAAGGCGACTGACGGCGAAAGTCGGTTAAGACCGGCGAGGAAAGAGATTACCGGAAAACCGGAAGAAGCTTCGAGATCAGGTCAAGAGAAGGGAGGAGGAGGAAAATGTTCGGTTAGGGCAAGTGCTTTGTGCGGATCGTAAAAGTTATATTAATCAAGTGGTATTTTTATGCAAGGATATGGATCTTCGGTACTCCATGGTTGAATTGCCAATTTTTAAAATATAATTGAAGATTCAAATGAACTTTTATTTATAAATTTACAGTTGAAATAGCCACTTAACCTTGGTGGTTTCAATGCCACTTGAATGATCAAATTTTGAACATGGTTAGGCTTTGAACTAGTTAAATAAGATTGAATTTGTATAATTTGGTTCTCTCTAGAACAGTTGATGCCCTTCTCGCTTACCTCTCCTCTTGTTAGGCGCACAGAACTTACATTTTTATGGGAAAACATTTATCACCCCCACCACCCATCTATCTTATTGGTGATTGACTCATCTCCTCATGAGTGGAGGTAAGGCCTTGGATTATGTTTTTGTGCTCGTGCTCATACCTTTCATCCATTGTTATATAAACATATTACAATTCATATGGCTTCTACTAATCTTGAATTTGTTATTAGAGTGTAGTGTTGGATTACTCTCATATGCATTAACATTTTGACATAAGAAATATATCATGTAATTATCCTTTTATGCAACCCCTAAATATAATAATAACTTCTATTGTAGTTTTTGCAGGATTGAATTCATGAGCTATTTTAAAATTTTTAGTTCACTTAATTCAGAGGTGAATATTTCCATACCAGTGTTGCATCCCATCAGTGTCATTTTCTTTGAGCACCTTAATTTAATCTGCAAATATATGTATATATATATATATATATGGAGTTTGCTCCTGATTCAAGTATGATGGAAGCATTAAATGTTGAACTATCTTATTTCGGTTCAATGACTTGTACGACTTTCACAACTTCGTTTTTATGATTATTTAGGTTTAACATTGATGAATCAGATTGTTTAAAGATGGGTTTCATCAAGAAAAAACTACAAGCAATAATGATAAAGGGCTCATTTGTTTCTGCTTTTCTTCTATTTTTTTGTGGAAGGAAAGCAATTTATCAAAAATAAGCAGAATATGCTCTCTTACAGCAATTTTGAAATTAACGTTAGAAAATGCATTTTAAATCTTAAAATCATCGGCTTTAAACATTATAATTACTGCAATTTCAAGTCGAGCATTCAATTTTGGATCGAGTGAGACAATTTATTCAAGCTCGACTCCACATCATGTGGACTTACAGCATGTGTTTATTAAAGGATAAAAAAACAACATGTTTTATTTTATATTGTAAGTGACTGAGATGAGAATTATTTTTCGTTCTTTTGCCAAGGTGCTCGTGAAGCTCACAATAGCAATTGTCTTAAAATGTGTAGATCACATGGTGGTCTGGTGGTTGAACATTTTCTCAAGCACCAAAATGTACCCAATAAAATGAGATTCTTTATTTTATTTTCAGCCAATATACTTCACATTCAAACCATATTTCTAATAGCTAATACAAACAATAACTTCTAATCATTATTTTGCGTGGTGATGAAAAATTAACTGAATGTTTAACTATTCTAAAAAAAAGTAAATTTTCTTATAAAAAGGGGTTACATGCATACCGCTTAATTCCTATGTATTTACATATCTAACACAAAAACTTCAATTTTTAGATACATGCCACCTTACATATGCATGAAAAAGGTGTCTTTTAACTTTTGAAGAGTTAAAACAGTATTATATTTTTATGTGATTTGAAAAATTTGGGTGGTCTGAATGTAAACGTTAAACTTAGGTATTAGATATGTAAATACACAAGAATTGGGTGGCATGCATGTAAATGCCCCAACAAGAGAAACAAGCGAGAAAATAGGCGCAAAAATGGAAAGATAGCTCAAAGAGTGGGACTCACTTTGCCTACTCAATTCAGCATCGAGAAACATTTAACAAGATACTGTAGATGAAAAGCAATATTGACAATCAACTACATCAATGATTAACCTGAACAAGATGAAGTGCATGAAGTTGAACAAAATGCATAAAATCAAAATGTAAGCCGCAAATGAGATACAATTTAAGGATAATATTACAAATTTAAGCAAATTATTAATACTAAATATTGAGCTATAATCAGTTCAATATAATTTGACTAATATCTGAGTAAATTAATTAGGGTTAATACTCTTTCACATCTTGCTCAACTAAACATCATGAACTATGGAGTGCCACTTCCTTAACTTCAGCATGTTTAATTTATAGCAATCATACAGGTCCCAAATAAAAGCAGGTTTGAAAAAACTTGACAAAAATAGCACTGCTAAGCATAAACATAAACATAAAATATTATCAATGACAAGCATTTTTCAGACTAAAGCTATATTCAATTAAACAAACCTGAACTCTATATTCTATATTCTCCTAAGGCAAGTTCTGCTGCGCAGAAGAATTTCAAATCCCAAAGACAAGAAGTAGAAGCAATCCATACTTGAACTGGGAGAGTGAAGGCGACAGCAAAAGAATGAAATCATCTGAAAGATATAGGAATCATGCTCTGAATAAATGAGAATAATCATAGATTTCTTCATTCTGCTTTTGGTTTAATTCTAGTCAGCCTCGAGTACAGGAAAACACCTGCTAATGCTACAGCGGTTCCTGAAAATGGAGTAACAAAGTTTAGATGAGACTAATCTTTGAAAGAACAATGTAAGGAAAATTTACATATATACCAACAAATCCTATGTATTTACATATTTAGCAGCTAAACTTCAGTTTTCTACATGCATGTCACCTTACCTTTGCATGAAAATGTGGATTTCACTATTTAAAAGTTAAAATGGTGGTAGTTTTAAAGTGATATAAAAGATTTGGATGGTATTAATGTAAAAAATAAAGTTTAGATGTTACATAAGTAAATACATAAGAATTGGGTGGTATGTATGTAAATGCCCCCATAATGTAAAAGCAAATTAAATGGTAGAAGTGAGAAGCCAATTTATAATCTGAGACACGTTTGCTTGCTCTATGGAACAAAAGCCCCATTTCTCTTGAGAAGTGGAATATTCTAGAAGGTATCAAATAGGAGGTTACAATCAACACTTGCAAAAGAAAATTGGAAAATTTTTTTGTCCTTGCAGCCAAAACATGACCAAGCAGCAAAATGCTTGCAATTTTCCCTAAAGCTGTGCAAGCCACTGTCTTATTTGAAAACTAAGCAAAAGAGTGGCATTCCAGAGGAAAATCCCAACAGCACCCACCATTTGCTCATTATAATACACATGAGCACCAAATTTCTACTGCCAAGACATCAATCACTTCTCTACAAATATTGAAAAAAAAATATGAATCGGTGCAAAGGGTTGTCAGTGTACTGGGTGAGAAACGCTTTATTTTAGGGAAATCCACATACGAGAAACGCTTTATTCATATAAATTTACGTATTTAACACCTAAAGTTTGATATGTACATTTATAACACCTTGGTGCTATAAATCTATACATAAAAAGGTGTATTTTACTTTCAAAAGTTAGTAAGAGTGGTATTTTTAATGTGATGTTAAAGATTTGAGTGCTATTAATGTAAATATTAAAGTTTAGGTGTTAGATGTTTGAATAGATAAGAATTGTGTGGTATGTATGTAAATGCCCCTTATTTTATTACCATTTTCTCTGTCAATATATGCAAGGAAGAAATTTAATTTCGTATAAACAATTTCAAAGCAGAAAACGATCAATTTAATTATATGGAAATGCCTGGTGTCCTAAGAAACTTCCACTTTTTTATTATTCACAGCCAATTAAAATGTAATCCACCTTGCAAGATTTAAGAAAAAGGCACACGAACAGGAGAGTTTTTTACCAAGAGAATTCATAGGTGACACGGGAGTCTTGAAGAAGATTACTGAAGATACAATGATTACCACACGCTTGACACAGTTGCTTACTGAATGGGTAACTGGTGATACTCTAGCCAATATAATGTATGCGACCTGCCAGTTGTAGAGTTGAGAAATAGCTCTGGTGAAAATTTTGTCTAACAGACTAATAAAAGAAATAACCATGCTTTCAATTGAGAAGTTTCATGAGAAATATTCTACAAAAAGTTCAATAAAACCAAAGGTTGATAAAAAACTACAACTGAACTATAATACACGCACTACTAAATGACAACTTAAATTTGCTCAGAAGTAATGATTGATTAAAGTTCAAATGATAACTTTCCTGAAAAAAGTGAGAATAAAAAAGCTCCCTTTTTGCCAAATAATGTAATGTACAATGAGAAGCTACAGTTCAACAAATGTAAGTCACTTCAAACTTCGAAGTATGGACAAGTTTGAACTGTATTTAAGCACAACCTAAAATCTTAATTTTGGTTGAAACAATGTTGAAAGGGATTTAGAGCCAAACATAAAAAGTAATCATGTCAGCTCCGTCCTACAGGCTCCCTAACTCTCCTAAGAGTTTGTAACACACGGACAGAAATTTAAAATGCAGATTTATTTTTTAAATAAAACTCTACTTAAAGATTTTATCTTTATTTTGTAAGAAGCTTAGAATCTAGTTTCAGGTTTCCCGTAAGCGCAAGCCCATATGATTAATTATACATCATAATGAGAAAAAAAGTTCATTTAAAACTAGCCATTAGGCACTAAAAATTTAACATAAAATAACAATGATTTTGATTTAAAGTTGTAAAAAATTAGCACTTTCAGCTTAACTGCGAATGTTGGGAAGAATAATGATGAACTCAACTAAGATCTCATGGTTTTATCATCTCGAGTTGTCGGGAACTCTGGTCAATTTAGTTAGAGGAGATTATTAACTCATCATGACTGAAAGTTTCTTATCAACAATCATAATTTGCATGGCACAAAGGGTTTCTATAGGCCTAAGGTAGATGTTTGTCTAAGAGGACAATTAAAAGTTTACATTAGTTAATAGTATGTTTTATAACCTATCAAGTGCACTATGTGATTCACAACTAGAGGAATTTGGCCCACTTGAAAACTCACAGGCTCAGACCATGACTGTAATTTAATAGTTTCATTTGGCGATGAATCACTTAATCAAAGGGCCTTGACAATAATTATTTTTTATAATGTCATTTGATAGTAAAATAACACATTTAAAAAGACATACTACGTCTTAAGATTAGTTATGTTGGTACACCTTAAAGCTTAAGTTTATTTTAAATTTGCCACCCTTAATAAAAAATTGCACATAAAAGTTAAATTATTGCACTTAAATTTAAGCAGTAGATTTTTTTGAATATTTTCTAATATTGTAATTTTCTTTAATATTTTTATATTTCATTGCGATTTCAACCCAAACTACTTACATCAAGATTTGAAATATTTTGAAAATAATATACCCTCCAGTTGAGATTTTCTATAAACACAATCATTATCGAGATATTGAATGATTTCATTTTATCAAATTAAATCCTATCGACTCTATTTTCTTGGTAGTAGAGGATCAAATTTGTAATTTGAATATGGCTTGAATTTATTTTAAAATTCATCACATTATAAATCTCATCAACTTTACTTCTATAAATAGAAAATTAGAGTTGTTTGTAAGTTAAACTCATCATTAGAGTATAATGGGACTAAGGATTTTTATTTTGAAGTGAATTTTCTTTGTAAAAAGCATTTAATGCTATATGCAAATACAAATTAAAATAATTTCATGAACTTCGCTACAAAGCATTTGATTCTCATTCCTTAATGACAAGATTGTTCTATTAAAGTTGGAATGTAAGTTTAAACAATATTCTTTACTACAAATATTTTCACCTCTAATAATTTTAATATGAATGATCATATATGTGGCCTACTCATGAATGTGTATGCGTCAAATTTAAGTCTCAGGCTTTGAAAAAACAGTTAAACGTTTTAAAATTATTGCATGCATGCTAAGCAACTGCACGCCTCTTAAGCCATGGCAAATTTGAGTTTATTTCGTTGTTAGCCCACACATCATTCTCTTATATTCAAACTTTTAATACATTGGCCAAAGCACAAGTAACATTATGATTTTGATAGGTTTATGTTTTTTAAAATACAAGCATGTTTTTTAATACACACACAATTTTTAATGCATTTAACTAACACATTTGCATATTTAGTTACACTAAAATAGTCAAGTTGCACACTTTTCAGTGAATTTATATGATGCTCTTGCATGTTTTTTGAGATATAATTATATAAGAATGTTATCTCATGTTGTGGACAAACCATAACATTATCTAAATGTTGAGATTTGTAATGGATCAACTCAATTTATTGATAGGAGGGATATTTAAATCCAATTACAACAAGCATAATAATGGAAAGAAAAAAAAAAGAATAAAATAACTAGTAAAGAAAATAAAACAAAATAAAGCTAAAGAGGAACAACATAGCCAGGGATAAAAATAAATAGTAAGTAATAACGGCATAGGGATAGTCGTTATAATCTAATACTCCCCCTCAAGTTGAAGCATAGATGTCAGTCATGCTCAACTTGGACATGAAGTAAATGAACAAAGGGCGGGGCATATTCTTGGTGAGGAAGTCCGCTAGTTGACCACTAGAGGGCATATATGGAACGCAAATCTCTCTGGACTCAATCTTTTCTTAATGAAGTGTCAGTCATATTCAACATGTTTAGTACGATCATGCTGGACTGGGTTGTGAGCAATGCTGATTGCAACATAATTATCACATAATAGCTACAGTGGGACGGAGGTGGGCATATGGAGTTCGCGTAGTATGATGTGTAGCTAGAGAGCTTCAACACTGCTTTGGGCAACCACAGACCATTTATTGATTTTTAATGTGACAAGATTGTCCCATATAAATGAGCAATACCTCGAGGTGAAACGTTGATCATGAACTGATCCAACCCAATCAGCATCTATATAAACAACAATAGACCGAGAGGTGAGACGGAGAAAGAATAAACCTAAGCCCGGTGTACCTTTTAAGTAGTGGAAAATCCAATGAATAGCTTGAAGGTGACGCTTTTAGGGGTCATACATGAATTGACTTAATATTCCAATTGTGACATATGATGGGGCAAATATGAGCCAGATAGATGAGTTTTTCAAAAAAGCGCTAGTAATAAGTTTTGTTGACAGGTCCAACATTGAGAATATCATATATTTTTCATAAGGATCCATAGGAATTGCAATGGGTTTGCACAGAAGAAAGTTGTTCTTTGTCAAGAGATCAATCATATATTTGCATAGAGACAAGAAAATTCCGCGAGAGAACCAAGCTACTTCCATACCTAAGAAGTACCAGAGGGATCTCAAATGGAGTTGGTGAAAGGAGAAAACAATGCATAACGGAGCTGACCATATATATGCTTCATGGCAAAGTGTTGCTAGAAGAATTTTGAGGCGAGATAGCTTATACTACGGTTTCTCGCAGGACATATTGCCTATCAAGGCATTGAAGGATAAAACTCCATTTGAGGCATTTTATGTCCATACACCTTTACTCAATTTCCTTAAAGTGTTCGGTTGTATTTGTTTCTCTCATGCTCCACAGGTCAATCGTGATAAACTTGTTAATAAGTTAGAACTAGCCATCTTTGTTCGTTATAGTACTTCCCCTAAGGCTTACAAGGTTTACCAACCTCAAACAGGGAAGATAATTGTCACTAGAGTTCGTTATTCAAAGAAAATGAGAAGGGGAACTAGGCACAGGCATAAAATACATCTACAAGCAAGCAGAAATTAATTGATCCCTTTCAAACAATAAAAAATCAAGCATTAGAACAGTTGCATGAAGAAACGAAAGATCATCCACCAATCCAAGGAATAAGAGCACAGTATGATATCTATCAGAGATGCAATGTAGCCATTTGGGAACCTATGAGTTATGAAGAAGCTATTAAGGATAAAAAAAAGGAATAAGGCAATGGAGAAGTCATCAATGATAAAAAAAGAATGAGATTTGAAAGATAGTTGATAGATAAAGGATTGAAAGTTTATTGGAGTAAAATGGGAGATTAGAACCAAGCTAAAGTCGGACAGAACAGTCAACAAACATAAAGCTGGGCTTGTTTTTAAAGAGCACACTAAAGTTTCTGGAGTTGATTACTTGGATACATTTGCACCTATTGCTAAATTGGACACTATTCGGCTAGTGCTAACTACTGCAGCTCAAAATGGGTGGAAAGTACTTCAACTTGATGTAAAATCTACATTTTTGAATGATACTTTGCAAGCGAAAATCTACGTTGAACAGCCCAAGGGATTCACAAAACAAGATGAAGAGGAGAAGGTATTCTTGCTCAAGAAGGTATTATACAGCTTGAAACAAGCACCTAGAGCATGGTATAGCAAGATAAACAAGCATCTGTCTTAGGATTAAAAAAAGGCATGTCAGAGGCTACTCTTCACATGCAAAATAAAAGAAATGGTCTGCTTATAGTCCCTCTTTATATTGATGATCTCTTAATCATAGGTGGCAAAACCAAGCTTGTTAATGAGTTAAAAAGGGAAATGATGCAAATATTTGCAATCAAAGACCTTGAACAAATAACATGCTTTCTGCAAATAGAGATTGGGCAATTAGAAGATAAAGTTTTCATCTGTCAAAAGAAATAAGTCAAGGAAATTTTCCAGAAGTTTCTTTTCGAAGACTACAAGACAATAACAACTCCAATGAATCAAAAGAAGAGCTTAAATAAGAAGGATGCCACAGACAAAGTTGAAGAAGGCTATTCAGAAGAATGAGTGGATGTTTAATGTACCAAACTACAACTAGGCCACATATCCTCCTAGCTGTAAGCATTCTCTCATTTCATGAATTGTGCAAACGAAGGGCATCTTAAGGCAACAAAAAGAATTATTTGGTGCATCAAAGGAACTATTAACTTTGGTGTTAAGTAAAAGAAGTGCCAAAACTTCAAACTATTAGGATTTTTTTACAGTGATTAGGGTGGATCCGTTCATGGCATGAAGAGTACATTTCGGTATTGTTTCAGTCTAAGATTA